TCCATTTCCAGTTTCTTTCAGAACTTCAAAGAAAAATGTTGGGTGCTAATGTGTCTTTAAGTCTTCTCACACTTACTAATAGGAGTTTTAAACAAAGAGAAAACAGCCCTCAGGCTCAAAGCACTTGGCAGGCAAAAGTCTCTTAACTAGAATTTTTTTTTATTATTGTGATTTTGGTGAAAGTTTACAGAGCAAATTGGTTTTCCATTCAACAATTCATACTCATTCTGTTTTGTGACATTCATTGCAATCCTCACACCCTAATAGCATTCTTCCCACTTCCTCCCTGTGCCCACTCCTTCCTTTCTTCCCTCCTTGCATCCCCTCCCTCCTCTAACTAGAATTTAACAATGTTGTTTTGGTTTCATTATGCTGATTTCTATAGTTTCCTTCTATTTGTAGCAAATAACCCTAGTTTCTTGTTCCTTGAGAGTGATAGCAAGTTTACTTTTAAAATAAATTAAAAGCGAATCCATGCAAAGGAAAACCTTAACTAAGGACAGATCTGGGTTTGAATAAGATCTTACTATCTCTGCAACATTGGATAAGATATTTGGTTTCTTTGAGCCTCAGTTTCCGCAATAGTAAAATGAGGATGATAATTTTTTCTCACTTCATGATTTCTTATAGGATTAAATGAGATAATGAGAGTCAGGAGCTTAGCACATCATTAAGCATGCAACACTATTTTAAAATATCATCATTACATTATTAATGTCAGTTGTTACTATATTATTGATAGCAATTTTGTCACATCTCCTTGCTGCTTGTACTGTGGGCTAATAGGAAGGAGACACCCCATGCAAATCCCCTGGCACTACAGTAGTGTTTCTTACCAGGTATGATTTTGGCCCCCAGGGGATATTTGGCAATGTCTGGAGACATTTGTTTTAATCATCATGGGGTTGGGGAGCTATGTTGCCACTTGCATCTAGAGGCTAGAGGTACTGCTAAACATCCTACATATTCAGAACAGCCCCACACACACTTCAAAGACATCTGGCCAAATGTCAAAAACGCTGTTGGGAAGCCCTGCCCTGCCCTGCCCTGCCGTCCCTGTCCTGTACCCATCCTTATGCCTCCCTAGCAGCTGGCTCTGCAGCCAGCTCATACTTCCAAAAGAGACCTACACTTGGAATCCAAAGGCCTCAGCCTCTGCTTCCTCATCCAGCAAGAGTGATGCTGAAGCCTGCCTTGCTTACAGTGATTCCGTCTCCTGATGGTTGAACCTCTTCGTTACTACCCTAGCTGTGCCTCGAGTTCTCTTCCTCTGATTGGCTACTGTAGTGTGGCTACTGGAACTGATTGTTTTTTTCCCATCTATCCTACTTCTGGGTGTTCCCCATTCCCAGAGTACCCACCTATATCCACCGCCTAGGACACTGCAGAGCACACAGGCAGGGAGTGGTGAATGGTAGATGGAGAGTCCTCCTAGCTCCCCCCACCCAGCCTTCTCTGAGTACCTCTGTTATTTTGGGTCTCAGCCTCCTCCAGTCTCACCCGTTGATTATTCTCTTCGTGTGTTGACATGGTTATTTTATCCCTCCCATGGTCCTCTGCTCCCACGCCTGCCTGTGCCCACTGCAGCCTGCATAGTCCTGGCACATAGTAGGCACTCAGAAGTGTATTTATGAATATTCGAAGGCAAAGGCAGAGAGAGAAAAGAGTGAGGGAACATAGAGAAGAAAGAAAGGAGGGGTGTTGAATGAATGTTGAGTGCAGAGAGATCTATTTAGAAGAGGGTAAAAGGGAGGGTCGAGTCCGAGACTCCAGCAAGATACAGGCCTGAGAGAAGAAAGGAGGACAGATAGATGCAAACAAAGATGAAAAGGGTGGGTGGTGAAGAGAAAGGAATGGAGAATACACTAGAGAGAGAGAGAGACTTTAAACGATGAGGCAGAGACAGAGAGAGTGCAGGCGCGGAGCAAGGAGAACAAACTCTCCTTGAGCTCTCGGGCGGGGTTGCGAAGTGTGGAAGACCGCTTTCAGGAGCAAGGAGAGGCGCTGCGAGGAGGGCAGGGATGCGGGCGCGGTTTCCATGGAGACGAGGATGCTACGGGAAAGAAAGGAAATGGACTGCGTCCGGCACGCCCCCTTGGCACTGCGTGTGGGAGGGCCAAAGGGGAGGCAGAGAGCACTGTGGTCTCACCCTTCCCAGACTCTCCCACTCTTGACTCTGGCTGAGGCGTGGGGAGGCGGGAGCGCACCAGCCCCGGCAAGGCCCTGAGTCCGCCCCTCCTCTCCGCGCCCCTTCCCTGGTGTTTCACCCTCCTGCTCCTCCCCGGTCCTGGAGGGTCTTTTCGAGAGCGTCTGGGCTGTATGGAAGTGGGGGTGAGGGTAGGATGGATGAGCCTTCTCCGCAGGCTCCTCCTCCTCCTCCCGCTCAGTAAATGCTGGCGCGCCCCAGGGCTCAGTCCTGAGCCTTGTCTCCCGTTAAAGTCCAGACCCAGGGATTTAAATACACACACATGCCTACATATCTCAGATTTATATCTACAGCCCTGATTCTCCCCTGAACGCACGACTTCCCCATTTGAATATCTAACCATCATCTCAAACTTAATTTGTTCCATATTTTAACTCACCAAACTCGTCCCCGCTTGCATTTCTCGTTCTTTTCGCCTGGAACTCTTCCCAACACTTAAGCAGAGGTGTGTGCCCCTAGAGTTCGGAAGAATTGTCTTAGAGGAAGTGAGAGCGCTGGCGATGGGAGAGTGTGTGTGGAGGGAGAGCGGTATCTTGTGTTAGAGCAAGTAGCTGGGCTTCAGGAAAGGGTTATTGCTTTAGAGATGGTTCACAGTAACGTGGGGGAGGGGGGCAGAGGTGGTTCAGTGGCAGAATTCTCGACTTCCATGCTGGACACGCATTGTGGGCCAGTGCATCTCATGCACACCCACCACCCGTCTGTCAGTGGAGGCTTGAGTGTTGCTATGACGCCGAAAAGGTTTCAGAGGTGCTTCTAGACGAACTAGGAAGAAAGGTCTGGTAATTTGCTTTCTTAAATCAGCCAATGAAACCCTATGGATCACAATGTCAGATTCAAAACCAATGGCCCCTGTTGTACATGGGGACCAACTGATCATGGGGTTGGCTCATGTTGTGCATGGGAGCACGGTGACTCTAGCTGATTCTGGCAGTTAACAACATCATGGGGGAGCACAGCATTGTGGGAAGTGGGGGAGGACTGTCACAGAGCAGAAGGACAGGAGAGCAGAGGAGGCCCTAGGCACCCTAAGGAGAAAAGAACCACCCTCTACTTGGGGTTGTCAGACTGGGAGGAGTCTGTGGACTAGGGAGCAAGCTGTCAAAGCCAAGGACTCCCTTCCCCAGCCTGGAGACCAGACAGGTCTCATGAACAGTGGGCAGAACTGACCACCACCCTCCGTTTTAGAATTCATACTTGTCATCTAAATCTCAAGTTAAGTGGCCCTCGTTGGCCTGGCATAGGATCAAAGATTCTACAGTTCCAGCCAGCGCCTATGGAACCTTCAGATCTCAGACACAGTATCCCAGACAGGTGAGACTAACAGACAATAAAGGGGCAACATCAAGACAGGCAGATATAGTCATAAATCTAGAGCTGGCTCTCATCCGTAGTTAGCCCTCATTGTGTACTGAGATAATGAAGACCTCATCATGAGGTTGAGCCATGCCCAGTCACTGAGTCTGGTTGCCTCTGATTGGCTTTTGATGGGACACATGCTCTTGTCTGAGTCAATCATTGCTACCAGGGGAGTGCAGTGTGTTGACAGGTACAGGTTTGGGTCCTATCCGACGCTAAATTAAGCTCTGGGGGAGAGAAGAGCCCACTCACATCTCAGGCTGGATTGGAAGGAGTGGGTCCTAAACAGCAGGAGGTGAATGCTGAGGAGGGATCCAGCAGATCAGCAGATGCCCATGTCGAGGGCCAGTCTTCCATTCTCTCTTTCTTTATCTGAAATCTCCCATTATTTCCTTATTTGTGTTAATATTTTATTATTATGACTATTTAAAAAAATAAAAACAGCTAACATTTATCAAGGATTTACTGTGCCAGGCACTTTACACGTGCAGCTTTTTGTGATTTTTATAATTGGTTGATGATACCATCATCATCCCCATACTATTGATGAGGAAACTGAGGCACAAAAGTGAAGGAACTTACATCTAGTAAACAGCTGAGGCAGGATTTAATCCCAGCACTTTACTACACTGCAAGCCCATGAGGCCAGGATTCATGTACCTGCCCCCTAGGCCTGGTCTTCTGCCCTCAATAAATATTTCCTGAGTAAATGCCTCACTGTGTTGTCTCACAAGCTTTACAACATTCAATCCTCACAACAACCCTATGAGATAAGTACTTTGGTTTCCATTATTCAATGAAACAGGCCCAGAAATGTTTAGCAGTTTCCTCAAAGTCCTATAGCTGAGTAGGTAGAAGACCTAGGCTGAAACCCCATCTTTCTCATTCCACAGTCCATTCACTTAAAGCAGCGCTTAACTGTGAGAATGAGAACATATTCCTATAATCTTGAATAAAAGGAAAATGTCACTTAATAAATGGGAAAAAAATTTTTAAAAAAGAAAAAGATGAAGATAGAGAGGGTCAGCATAGCCAAGAATGCTAGAAGCTGAAGGAGATGGCTGTGGTTTTCTATTTTCTCATATTTCCAGGAAGGCTTCATGGAGGAGGAGTTGATTTAATGGGAGAGAAAGAGGGCATTGTGGATTGGAGAAACCAGGAGGGCTTCCTGGAGGAGGAGTGATTGGATGGGGGAGAGAAATGGCATTGTGGGTTCTGGAAGGTTTCTGTTCTGTAAAACCAATCCCAGACCCTCATCTAAGTCCACAGAAGCCAGAGTAAGTGGTTAACAAGCACTTTGGTTGATGGGCAGAGTGGGAATGCTGGAGCCTAGACCAAAGAGGGCTTTTGGTGTCTTTAGGCTCTGGGGAGTAGTAATAAGCCCCTTCTCTCTTCCTCTCTGACTGTGGTGGTGGGTCCGACGCTCACATCCCCTCAGCTCTGTGCCTTGTCCTGGGCTGCATGATCTTCCCTGACGGCTGGGACGCTGAGACCATCCGGGAAATGTGCGGGGCCAAGACGGGGAAATACTCCTTGGGGGACTGTTCGGTGCGCTGGGCGTACATCCTGGCCATCATCGGCATCCTCAACGCCCTCATCCTCTCCTTCCTCGCCTTCGTGCTGGGCAACCGGCAAACAGACCTGCTGCAGGAGGAGCTCAAGCAGGAGAACAAAGGCGAGTGCCGGGGCAGTGGGGCTGGGCCGGGACCATTTATTTACAGTCAAGGTAATAACAGTGATGCAAAACTTGGAAACGTACAGTACAGTACAACCACCTTGAAAATAATTGGATGGTATCCCTCAAAGTGGAACATTTCACTCTCTATGACCCAAAAAACACACATCTGAACACAAACCCATGAGAAATGTACAAGAAAGGCAGAGCCTTTTAGAATATCAAACAACTGAAAATAACCTAAATGACTATCAACAGGAGAATGGATAAATAAATGGTGGTATGTTCGTATCATGGAATAGTACCAAACTGACTATGAGTTGATTGTCAGTAACGGAATGGAAGCGTCTTGAAAACATAATATTGAGAGGGGGAAGAAATCAAGTACCAGAGTAATAGTTTTATTGAGCTCAGAACCAAGCAAAACTAAGCAATGTATTTCTTAAGCATACATATATTTATGATTATACACACACACACACACACACACATATATCTGGTGGGAGAATGGTTAAGGCATTCAGCTGCTAACCAAATGGTCACTGCTTTGAATCCACTAGCTGCTCTGTGGGAGAAAGAGAAGGCAATCTGCTTCCATGAAGATTTACAACCTTGGAAACCCTCTGGGGCAGTTCTACTCTGCCTTATAGGGTCACTATGAATTAGAATAGACTCAATGATGGGGGTTTGGTTTGGGTTTGGGGTGTGTGTGTTTATATATATATATATATATATATATATATATATATATATATATATATACACATAGGCTCTGGTGGCGTAGTGCCTAAGGCATTAAACTGCTAACCAGAAGGCTGGCGATTCAAACCCACCAGCCACTCCTCGGAAGGAAGGTTGGGCAATCTACTTCCGTAGTGATACCGCTTTGGAAACCCAAGAAGGGGTCACTATGAGTCACATCTGACTCCATAGCAGTGTGTTTGGTGGTATTTTTTTTTAGTTTATATATATATATATATATATATATATATATATATATATTTAATAAAGCAAAAATTACAAGTGGTAGAATGCTGGCTATCTCTTGTTGCAACAAGAGGGGAGGAAGCCAAGAGCATTAGGTATATGCAAGGTATTTGTTAAGTTATAATTCTTGTGTGGTGAGTTCACAGGTGTTATTATAGTATGTTTTGTAATCAACATATTGCATATAACATTTTGTATAGATCAATTAACATAGTAAAATACAACAGTGAAAAAAAAATACCCATCAGGCCAGAGCCTCCTTTACCTAGCACCCTCTTTACCTTCTTCAGGGGGAACCACTGTTACCAGACCCTTTTCTATGTGTATACATACATTACATGTCCCTTTATATAATACATAATACTGTTATGTTCTAATATAAATGGCATCTTCCTAAACAAATTCCTCCTAAGATTACTTTTTGTGCTCAACTCTAGAGCATTTCTTAAAGATCTTTACTGTTTCTTGGAGATCCGTTTCACCCTTTTTATTCCAATGCTTAGTTGTATCTAAGATGAATGTCCCATGAATTATTTAACTATTTAATCTTTCAGGGCTGCAAGTGAGGTTTCCAGTGTTTCACTGTTACTGACCCTGCTGGAATGACTTGTTTATACATGCCTTCATATGCACACCTGCAAGTGTCTTCTCAGTGTCTTTCAAGAACAGAATTGCACACTTGAAATTGTAATGATGGAATCAGTTGCACTCCAAAGGGGTAGTACCCATTTGTCTTTGAAGGAGCTGACTTCACAACAATGGCTTCTGACCCTAAAGCCCACCCTGTACCCAATCAATAAAAGACCCTGCAGTGCTGGGTTGCTGTTGTTAGGTGTGGTCGAGTCGTCTCCAGCTCATAGCAACCCCATATACAGCAGAACGAAACACTGCTCCATCCCGTGCAGCTCCAACGATTCTTGCTGTACCTGAGCCCGTCGTTGTAGCCACTGTGTCAGTGCATCTTGTTGAGGGCCTTCCCCTCTTTCGTTGACCCTCCACTTTACCAAGCATGACATCCTTCTCCAGAGAATGGTGCTGGGTAGAAACCAGCGTATGGTTGTGTGTTCTTTACTGTGATACTTGAGAGTCATAATCTTTGTAATCACAGCCTTCTTTGAGCTCTTAGAATATTCTGGGTCTATGTTTGGCACTTTACATTAATTATATCCAACTCTTGGAGTCTCTGTAAAATGGGGACAATGGTGGTTGTTGTTAGGTGCCTTCAAGTCTATTGTGACTCAAAGTGACCCCCTGTACAACAGAATGAAACACTGCCCAGTCCTGCACCATCCTCACAATCGTTGCTATGAGTGAGCCCATTGTAGCAGCCACTGTGTCAGTCCATCTCCTTGAGGGCCTTCGTGACCCTCTACTAAGCATGATGTTCTTCTCCAGGTACTGGTCCCTCCTGATCATATGTCCAAAGTATGTGAGACAAATAATCCCACTGCCATTGAGTCAGTTCTGACTCATAGCGCCCCCATGGGGTTTCCAAGGCTTTAAATCTTTACAGAAGTAGATTGCCTCATCTTCCTTCCTCCCATGGAGCAGCTGGTGGGTTTGAACCACTGACCTTCTGCTTAGCAGACAAAGAGACAAATGATAGTGAGGATTAAATGAGATAATGCCTGCACATCTATCTCCTTTGATAGGATGTGGTTTATGTTATTATAGTTGAACTCCTGAACTGTGGAGACAGATTGTCTGCACTGGTAGCAGGCTGAACTAAGAAATCACTTAACCCCCTCAAGGGATGTATTTCCTCATGAATAGGAGGGTGATGAGAGTCATGCCACCTCACGGGGCTGTTGTGTAAGGAGGAAAAAAGATTGTGCATGTATACATTATCGAGCACAGTGTCTGGCCCATGGTAAGTGCTCAGTAAGAGCTTTCAGTCCTCATAAAGACCCAGTCAGGCATGATGACTACCATTTTGCAAACAAGAAAGCTGAAGTGGAGAGAAGTCAAGCAGCTTGCCCAGGGTCACCGAAGTAGCGCAGTCAGAATTTGAACCCAGGTCCAGGACCAAAGCCTAAGCATGTCCCCACTGCACCACACTTAGTCTCAGCCTAGTTAGACTAGAGATGCCCTGCCCCCTCCTCTGGGCCTTCTGGAGGGCTGGTGGCTGAACATCCTTCTCTGGGCTCCTCCCAGCAGAGACCCTAAGAGCTAGTGATTTCTATGGTTTTTGCATGAGGTCAGAGCCCGCCCTCTAGTGGCAGCTTCCAGAAGATGAAGGGGCTTGGAAATGTAAATGGTGTGCGCTTGGAGGACTCAGTGTTCCTCTCCTTTCTCCCTAAAGCTGATCCTCAGTGTTAAACGTGATGTAAGGGAGCCCCCGTTTGCCTCTCTTCAGCATCAGGAGATCTCCATCCCACACTCAAAGAGGAAAAGAGCCTGACAGGCAGAGAGAGTTCAAGATGAGTGAGCCTCACAGCTCAGTTCTGAGTCAAAAACCCTTGGAAAAAAAGTCAAAAATAATATTAATTGCTACCATATCTAGTGTTTACTGGGTGCATGCACTGTGCAAAGCCCTTTAGTCATATCCTTTTGACTTCTCAGAATCTGTGAAATATGTCACTATCCTCATTTTACAATTGAGGAAATTGGGGCTTACCCGAGGGCACCCGGCTGGCATTTCAGAGCCAGTGCAGGTCACCTTTCTGCCCATTTCACCCTGGGGAGGGACCTGTGGAGCCCTGATGCCCTGGCGGTCTCTGACTCTCGCTTATGCTCTTTTTCTCAGATTTCGTGAGCTCTACAGTAAGCTCTGTGTTGCGGCCAGGGGGTGATGTCTCCGGATGGGGGGTCCTCCCATGTCCTGTCGCTCACTCCCAGGGACCGTGAAGTCCAGGATCACAGCCCAGGAGTTGACCTGCCCTCTCATCCTTCTGATCAAGCTCCAAAGGAAGATCCCACTCTGACTGACTTCTCACCTACTACCTGCCTGGCTTGGAAGAGAGGATGGGGCTGGGAAGGTGCCTAGGGTAGGGGAGAGCCTCTGCGGACCCTGGGAGGGCCTGGTTCTGGCTCTTCTCTCATGTGACATAAGGAAGCCCTGACTCCCACAGTCTCTAGGCTTTTCCTCTCCCTTGTAATCTGGCCTGGAGGCCCCTGCAGGAACCCCAGGGGAAGGAGGCACTGTGCCAGGGCTCCAGTCGCCCCCCAGCGTAGAAGCTGTTGTCTGGCTGTCTCCTGGCCTCCTCTGGCCCTTGCCTCCCACAGAAATTTAATTGAGACACTGCCCTGGGCCCCCTTGGTGGACAGGACTCTTTCCTACTTTTTTTGTTTGTTTGCTGATGATGGTACCACCACGTCAGTCACAGTGTCCCAGGTGCCACCAGCCTTCCCAGGGCCTCTGCTCTTGCTGGAGCCTGCTCTCAGCTCTCCCAAAGGAATTCGAGCTACAACAGAGGGGAAGCACAGGGCCTCCCTGCCACGTCTGATGACTGGGGCCCTGCTCAGCCCGGAGTGGAAAAGGACCAGAAATGCTCTGGTGACAGCGGGAGGGAGTGCTTTGACTCCTGTCTTGGCAAGTCCTGACCTCAGAAGTTGGGCCTTTGAAGCTGCTCAGCCTGAGGCCAGCCTAGCCTTCCCTCTGCTGGAATGTCTCACCAGTGACCCTTGACCTTGGCTTGTTTTGTACAGCACAGACTTCTTGGCCTTGTTGTCAGGGTTGGGGCTGGGGAGACGGGCTCAGGGGTGGAGAATTAGGGAATGCATCACTCCTCCTGCCCCTTCTTTTGCCTCCCACCCCGGACATCTGCCAAGGCCAGACACTGTCTTGCCTCTTTGATACTTTTCTGCATAACTTGAACTTGCAGGTCACCTCTGAACAGGGTACCCCCTGTCCCCACCCCTACACCTCTTCCCCTCTCCCCACCTCTTCTCCTAGCCCACCTTCTCGCCTTGAGATATGTCCAGGGTCCACAGCCTGATGGGCAGTGCTTGGAGCCAAGGCATGAATGTGTGTGTGTGTGTGTGTGTGTGTGTGTGTGTGTGGCAGATGAGAAGTCTTCTCTTCCCCCCATCATCGGGGCATTTCCCTCCCCCTTGGCAGGGAGCAAATGAGGGAGACTCCAGGTGTTTTTTGAATACCCCTCATTACCATGTTTATTTGAGGGTACAGCCATCTCGCCTTGGGAGCCCCCCACCTTGGGGCTTGGACTTTCAGGGATGGCAATGTGGCTTCATCTAGTGTGCTGACTGCCTCTGTGGGCATGACTGTAGGGCCCACTCATGAGGAACCAGAAGCCCCCTCCAGCCCAGTAGGAACGGTGAGGCTATCACCAAGTTATGTCTGCCTCAGCCAAAGGAGGGTGGACAGCATGCATGCCATATATTTGCCAACCTATGTTCATCTCCATAAGATTTGGACCTGAGGGTTAGGACTTCAGGAAAGACCCAGACACCCTCTGCCTATCTCTCCCATCTGGACCCTAACTGGAACCAGATGCTGGGTCCAGTTAGGCTTCCTGAAGCCAGAACTTACCAAGTCCTGATCTCCCTCGCCACCTTCTTGCCTCATTCCTTTTGGGAACACACTTTTCCCCGGTTCTCTGGCCCCAGCACTGTGCCCCCTTTTATCCTCCATCCACTGAGTCCCTCACTTCAGCTGCACAGCTGGTGCCTCCCCGCCCCCTCACACACACAACAGGCTGCCTGGGGGTGGGGCTGTGACACCCACCCATATCACAAGGTCCCATGCCAAATGGGAAGGTGAATGGAGCCTCATGGGAGTGGGGGCAGGAGTGAGTGCCTCAAAGACACAGATCAAAGCCTAGTGTTGGAGGGCTGCAGAAGTAGGGGGAGCATTGGGAAAGAGTGAAGGGAGGGGCCAGGAGAGGGTGGTTAAGAATAGGACATAACAGGAGGGAAGATAGAGAGAGAAGAGGGAGGTGCAGAAAGAGACAAAAGGGGAAGAGAAGAGATGTAGAGACAGGTAGAAGAGGAGACAGGGAGAAGGAGAGATGAAGGGATAGAGCGTGAAGAAGTGGAAGAGAGATAGGTCAGAGGTGAAGGGAGAGATGAAGAGAGATGCTGGGGCCTTAGATGGGGGAGGGAAGACACATGGAAAGACAAAGAGGAGGGATCAGGAAAGACTAATGAGAAGATGCTGAGATGGGTTGTGGATGGAGGGTGAAAAGGAAGGTGAAGGAGAGGAGGATAGTGGGAATGGGGAAGGGGTGCTGTCTGGGTACTGGGTGAGAGGAGAGCTTTTACCTCCAAGGACACCTACCGGCCTAGGAATCGCCAGACCCCTGTGCTGTGGTTGAGAGGTTAGAACTGCCCCCTTAGAAGCCAAAAGACCCAGGCAGCCAAGGCCCAGTCCATTGCAGAGTGACGTGAAGTCACACCATAGGATGCACCCTTACCCCAGAAGGCACAAGTGGTTTGGGGCCAGGTAACAGAGAAGAGAGAGCCTAATTCATTTTGGCAACTCAGACAAAGTCTATGTCACTCTCCACTCAGCTGATGTCTTGATGGGGGGGGGCAGCCTGGAGACATGCACAAGTTTAGGGCTAGAAAGTGGGGTTGGGTGGAGCTCTGGTAGTGTAGTGCCTAAAGCACTTGACTGCTAACCAGAAGGCTGGCGGTTCAAACCCACCAGCCACTCCTCAGAAGGAAGGTTGGGCAATTTACTTCCGTAGTGATACCGCCTCGGAAACCCAAGGAGGGGTCACTATGAGTCGGGTTTGACTCAACGGCACATAACAACAACAACAACAACAACAAAGCCCAGGGTAACAGGGAAGGGACAGAGGCCCGAGGAGCACCAAACCATAGCCTTGTCCCAAGGATTCAACAGAGGTGAGAGCAGAGCTAGGGCCCCAGAGGAGGCTGAACCTTGCCACACCTGAATTGGCATAGCCCCTCTGAGGTCAGAAAGGGAGGTTTGTGGTCTGGTTTTTACCCAAGGCGTGCAATTCGGCTCTAGCTTTCTGGAGGGGACTGAAGCAAAGATAAATGTCTGTTTCTGATGTCAGGAAGTCCTCTTGGACTCTAACCTGGACCCTTCTTGCTTTCAGCAGCCCACTGAGGCACTCCTTCCTCAGCTGTGCTGGATCAGAGTGGTCTGACCTGGTCTGGGGCTTCGGGGATAGGCCAAAGCAGCCACAACCTGGAGTTTGTTCTGTCTTTGCTTCGTGTAGGTCAGTGAAGTCCTTCCAGGTCTACAAGATGGGAAACTGTCGCCTTTGAGGACTCATAGGGGAAAATAGTTTTGCTGAGGGGATGAGGGCCATGTGTAGGATCAAGATCATTTTTAGGCTTGTAATAGCTTAAGTTGAAAGCTTTTAGCCAAGGCTCTGGGGGGACATTCCTCAGGCCTTCTTTTTAAATGTCTGCTTGGGTGCAGGGGAAATCACCCTTCTCGCTGCTTCCAGTGTGAACTGAGAAAGGGAAGCTCTTTGGAGAAGCTGGAATGTTTCCAGCACAAGAAACTTTTGCAGGCCCCTGTCTGGCTCAGGGCTCACCTTTGGGTGGGACAGGAGTTTCCTGGGAAAGGAACAAGAGAGCCACTGCCCTGGAGCTCTGGCCAGTGGACCTTGGAGGGCCTGTGTGTGTCATTAGGATAGCTTTGTGTTGTCTTCACCCCATTAGTAAGTTCTGTCTGAATGTGTCCTCACTCTTCATTGTCCAATTTGGCAACATTTATTTTGGTCCTGACCCTTTCTGCTGCTGCTGGATTTGAGCTTCAGTGCAGGTGGAATGATGTTCAAATAAAGAAAAACTTTATATCACTCATGCTGGCTTCTCCTTCTCTGAGTCAATCCCCAGCGGACCAAGTGGGGTGGGTTTCAACTTGAGGGTATCAAGTTTGGCTGCATATCAATAGAGCCCTACTACTGCAGCTTAAAAAGATCGTTTATTTTACTGTCACATTAAAAAAAAAAAAAAGTCTGGAGGTGGGTGGAGCATGGCAGGTATGGCACACAGTATGATCAGGAACTCCTATCTTTCTGCACTGCCTTTTTCAATCCTGGCTTTATTGGCCCAAGATGGCTGCTGGAGCTCCAGTCAACTTGTCCACATTTCATTTGAAGATTTCTGAAAATCCCAGAGGACTAAGTCACATAGCCACACTTAGCTGTAAGGGAGGCCGAAAATATAGCCTGTTAATTGGACACATCGACACCTCAAATAAAATTGGGATTCTGTTACTAAGGAAAAAGGAGAGAATAAATGGAGTAGGCAGCTAGCAGTTGGCCATACTCCTAATAGCGTAGACTTGAGGTTGGGCTTAAGACTCTGGCTAGAGCAAACAAGGCACTGTGTGGCCTTGGACAAATCATTTCACTTCTTTCTCTAAATTCCCATTAAATAAAGGGGATAACAATAATGACTGTCTCACAGGGAGGTCATAAGGAATAAATGGGGAAATTACGTGAATTGTTTAGCTGTGTCTGGCACATTGTAATGTGTGCCAGACAGTATCTATGTTGAATATAATTCTTGCACTTGGGAATTGATTCTTCACTCAACATATTTTGACCATGTACTATATGCTAAGCACTTATGCTAGAAAAATGAACAAAACAAGAGTCCCTGTGTTAGAAGAACTCAGTCTGGTTGGAAGATGAACATGTAAACATAGTCTAACCTGGTGAGTGCAGGGTATTGTTGGATGAATAGGAGTTAGGCAGGCAAGGGTCAAAAAGGTTATCCAGAAAAGAGAAGGCAACTTAAAGAAACAGACCTAGGTTAAAAAAACAAAACAAACAAATAAACAAAAAACAGTGATGTTTGGAGAACTAAAAGCAATTTGGTAATGTTGAAGTATAAAGTGTGAGACAGGAAGGGTTGAGGGAGGAGCCTGGGGAGACAGGCAAGGGTCAGATCACGAA